AAATAGAACTAGACAGATTGATGAAAATGACAAGCAGAGATCAGTTCCACTAGCGATACCATCACCACCACCTCCCAGGAGTCAGCAATAGTCTCCCAATGAATAGGGTCAGGGCCAACAAGATCCACCTATTATTGGTGTACCACCACACCTTTAAAACATGAAAAAGCCAAATACTTACCTGGCAATATTATTACATACTTGATGGGGGCTATGGAGTGAATTTTTTAATTGAATAGAAATTTGGGGCTCTATCACCCTTAAATAATACATAGGTTCTCTTTGATATAATAATAAACCCTACTTAATATATTCAAGTATATTTGTAGAATCTAGTAATAAAGTGATAGCATAGAGTATCGAACCCACAAGGAAGTTTACTTTAATTGCATTAAACTACAACTATTTACTCTAACTATAGTAATTATCTTATGAAATAAAATTGATAATTTTGGAGATTCTAACACTGAACAAATGAGTAACAAAATTTAATAAAATATTTTATTAAAGAGTTTTGAATTGATGACTATTAATTTGCATATCTTTCCTAATTAGACTCTTCATGGTAATGTGATTCAGAGCATATGCATCCCTAAGTCTATGTCGAGCTTATCGGGGGTGAAAAGGTTATTTGCTAACCTCCTTCAATTATAATATCTCTTAAATAGCCTAGAATATTTTACATCAAATGTCTAGGCATGCAAAACATTCTATTGAAATACTTCTTGCTATTCTTGTATTCTTTTATCCAGCTTATACATCACATTAAGTTTTAACACCAGATATTGCCACTATTTGCATTAAAAAAGAGTAGGATAATATTAAAATTATATTTTTTACCATTCTATACAACAAGAGCCTTTGTTAGTACTCAGAATCTATTTTATGTCATCAATCCAAAACAAGAGAATTAGCTAAACATGGAATGAATATCAAGTAATATCCTTTTCATTAAACTCATGAAGAATGAAAAATACAAGAGAGTGGTATCACCAGGAAGGATCAAAGTAACTCCTCTACACTCCTTCCTTTAACTTATAGAGTTGCTTTAAGAAATAAATGCTAACAATCTGAATGGTTACATCTTGTACTTCCTAGCTTCCCTTATATTTTGCACTAAGATGGAATTAGAGAAGTGCTCTAAGAAGTACTAAAATTACATAAATGATTGAAATCTCATACACATATAACACATCATCTATTTATAAAAAAAATTAAAATTGTCAAGAAGCTATATGGTGCTTGAAATATTTGCATCACATCACCTCTGAAGTGAACTATCACCTCAACATTAAAGCATTTGCACTGCCCATGCGTTTGTAGATGTCGATCAATTACTTATGAACTGTGGCTTCACTTCACTCATAGAATGTGTCCCTTGGATGCTACAACTATAATTCTTTGACTCTATGGAAATTGGGGCACTGCAGCGCCCAAAGTGCAAAAATGGCACAAAGGTCTGAGAAATTATGGCATTGCGACATTAAAAAAAAAAGATAATTTGGCTCTGCCAAGCACATTTACTAATGCCACAACATTTATAAAACTATGGCACTATCTTTTTTGTCACTCCAGTGCTTGCAAATAGAAGACTTAATGCCGCCATGTTAGAATTTAAGTGCCCCAACAATATTGAGGGTAGAGTTGTGATGCTGCATTGTAATACACCATGTCACTAAGATCTCCTTAGAATTTCTTTCAAATTTTGAGTTTTTTTCCTTCATAGAAATAACTAAAATAATAAAATTTCACTAGAAATAAAGTTCATTAAAAAATATATTATTTACACTTATCACTCAGTTCTTAGATCAAAGGAGTTTCTTGCAAGATCTAAGTTTCTAGTGTTATAGAAAACATAAACATAAGATGGAGTGCTTTTTTTTTTTTGTTTTAATTTTTCTACAAGTTTTTGGAAGATTTTGGCAGAATATCTAACAAAAATAGAGATATAATGAAAATATATCTTATTTTTAGTGAAATATTCCATGAGAAAATTTGGTGGATAAATTGTTGTTAATAGTATTATTAAACGATTAATAATACTGTTATATTATATCAGAATTCCATTGGTAAATCCACCTAAAAAAATTCTTAATAAATATTTTCAACAAAATAATGTTTTCAATGCCCGATTTACCATTGACTACATTTTCTCCAAAAATCCAACAAAAATGCATAGTGTTTTGTAGAATTTTATGATATTTGACAAATTTGAGCTGGAGGTAACACCCTAATTTCCCATAGTGGATGAAATAAGATATCTTACTTTTCCAAATAAAAGTATTAATTAGGCATGTAATTTAAAGCAATTGGATCCCTTGATCTCTGTTGAGGTTGTAGAGGTGAAAGGATATCTTCTGGCCTCCTATAATTATAATATCTCTTTCTAAACAAAGAATATTCGAACATCTTATTGCTAGGCTTTTTTACATTCTATCTAAATATTATTGAGTGTTCTTACATTCCTTTGTCGAGGTTTTACATCACACTAAATTTTAACTACACACATGGTCATTATATACATTACATAAAGAACGAGAAATAATTGAGAACATCATTAAATCTTTAAAATATAATAGTCTTTATAAATACTTAATATGTTCATTACATCATCAATCCAAAATAAGATATTTTGACTTTTTTTTTTTTGAAAGCTGCAGAAATTGCATTAAAATGAAACAAAACAAACTAATTACAATGTTTAGAATTATAGAACTCCAAAGAAGGAGGAATGTTACCAAAAGAGAAACTGTAAAAAGTAAAACTACCATCTATTGCCAAAGTGGCACAGAAATCAGCCACTCGGTTACAATACCTATTAACATGATGAAAAACAATTTTATTATAATCCTTAAGGAAGAGAAGCTCCTTAATCGGCCATTTCTCCATCTGCCACTCCACCTTCTTCAAAGAATTATGAATGTGTGTAATCACATTGATATTATCACTTTCAATTATAATGCCTTTGCTTTCCAACATCCAATTTTGGATGAATTTTCTTATTGTAAAAATAGCCTCTAGCTCAACTTGAGCAATGTCCCAATGCATAGTATTCTTACCGAATGCAAAAAGAAGTCTACCTCTGTAATCTCTGAAGATCCCACCAATGCCGGCCGGATAAGAAGGAAGCCAAGAAGCATCCACATTAATATTGATCCAATCTAGCGGTGGAGGGTGCCAAGTTGTAGTAGACTCCCGAGGGAGATTAGTACCCCATCTATCTAGATATAGATTAGATTTAATTGTGGAGAGAGAGATGACATTTGCCGCCACCAAGCTACTAGTCATAGCAGCTTTACCGTGCTTCAACAGGTTGCGATTATTCTAAGACAAAAAAATAGCTGTGCAGTAAAGTCTCACCATACTCTTATTCTTGGCCGAACTTCTCCTCATTTCCTCTAAGCATTCAACCAGGGAATGAAACTTAGGAATAGAAAATACCCAAACTTGAATAGAAGAAATAAACCTCATTAAGGTATTTTCAATGAACCATAATATGTTCATAATTCTCCACCTCTTGACACCCTCTAGCACAAGAGTCATCAATAGCAATTCTTTTATACTTGAGGAAATGATTTGGAAGAATAGAAAATTTACTTAATCGCCACCCAAAAATTTCCATCTTACTATTGAGCTTAATGTTCTTTAACCAAATACTAAAACCTCCATCATCATCCATATAATTATCTCTTAGCACAAAATTATATGCCAAGGCTGATAAAGATTTATCTGACAACTTACTGATAGTTTCTAGCCTATCCTACTTCACCACTGTATCAATTTTTACTTGCCTGTTAAGAAATATCAATTCTTCATGAAAGAAAATCTTAAGTTTTACCTCATCCCAATTACCCTCTTCAGAGATAAGCTGCTACACCATCATATCTTACAGGATATACAATCCACAAAAGTCAGCCAAGCATTTAAACTTTTGTCTAAATGCCAAATGTCACCAAGAACATTAATTCGCTCACCACTTCCATCCTTCCATCTCACAATATTTTTAAGTTGCCTTCCACCATCTTTAAGTATTTGCAAAGACTAGAAGCATTTTTTTTACAAGTTCTGTCTAGGACCTCATCTCCATACTTGGCTGTAACAGTTCGGTGAAGAAGAGTCTTTGGGTTCTGAATACAGTTCCAAGCCAATCTAGCCCACAATGTACCCATTCTTATAGCTAAAGATTGCACCCCCAATCCACCTGCACATCTTCTCTTACAAATCTCCCTCCAAAGCACATAATGTAATCCCTTCTTCCCATCTGGTTTGTTCCAACTAAAATTTCCGCACATCTCTTCCATCTTATATACAATTTTCTTCGGCACAATGGAATGAGTGAGTAAAAAGTTAGACATATAAAGTAAAGAAGTCTTCAACAAAGTAATTCTACCACCCAACGATAAAGACTTCTTACCCCACACATTTAATCTATCCATAACTTGACTCAAAAAATCATGAAAATCTGCCACCTTCAATCTCCTAAGAGAAATCTTGATACCCAAGTTCTTCTATTCCTTGACAACTTTGAATCCTATTATTTTAGCCACCTTCTTTTTATGATGTCTACTAACCACTTTACCAAACAAAATTTGGGACTTATTGATATTCACTTTCTGTCACGTCCACCTACGAAAATCTTTAACTATTTTCTTCACTAATATGGCCGAAGAACATATAGCTTTTGAAAACACAAGCCATCATCTGCATACAAGAGGTGTGAAATCTTAGGACCTCTTGTACAAATCTGAATACCCAGATCTTGTCCCCTCTGCTAAATACAATTTGACAAAAATTGTGAGCACATTATAACAAATAAGGGGAGAGTGGACATCCCTGCTAAAACCACTACAAACACTGATCCATTTCAACATCTTCCCATTTAAGATAATAGAGAACCTAACATTCACCACGCATTCCATACGAAATCCTGAGAAAATCGAAGGGAAACCAAACGTATTGAGAATTTGAAGTAAGGTTGGCCAACCCATGCAATCATAAGCCTATTCCATGTCAAGTTTCACCGCCATAAACCCTTTTTTGTTCTTAGATGTTTTAAACTTGTTAAAGATCTCATGGGTTAGAATACAGTGCTCAGACATAGATCTACTTGGAATGAAAGCCATCTGTTTTTCAGAAATCATCTTAGGCACAAGCTTCTTCAGCTTATTTACTAACATAGTGGAAACAATATTATAAGTAGTTTGGCACAAGCTGATGGGCCAAAAACTAGATTGTACATTTGGATTCTTCACTTTGGGTATAAGAACAATCAAGGTATCCTTCCACTCATTGTGCATACTACCAGTAGTAAAAAATTTTACTGATAGCCTTCCATGTAATGTCTCCAACTAGCTTCTAATAGCATTTAAAAAATGAGAATGTAACTCCATCAACCCCAGGAGATTTGTTATTACCTTGCTGAAAAACAGCTTCCTTGCATTCTTCTAAGAGAAATTCTGCATCCAGGAATTTCATATCCAGTGAGCTCAATCTCTGTTCTTCAGCAATCCTAGGCCAACCCGTCAGCTGACATTCACGACACCTCCATTTCTTCTCAAAAAACTGAATAAAAACCTGCTCAATCTGATTCTTATCTTCCACCATTTGGTTATTTTCATCTTTAATTTGTCTAATTAACTTTGCATTTCTCCTAGCCGAAGCAAAGTTATGAAAAAAAATTGAATTTGTGTCCCCCTCCTCTTGCCATCTAGCCTTAGCCCTTTGATACCACCATGTAGACAATCTTCTAAGAGTAATATTGAGCTCATGAACTTTGCTCCATAGCAAGACCAAATCTTCAACAGTAAAAGTCTCCACCGAAGCCTCTTTGATTTTTAATTCCAGAATTTCTAGCTTCAAGTCTTCTTCTAGTTTACATAAATCCTTACATTTGTTTTTGCTCCAAAAGAACAAAGCACGCAGCTTCCTTCTAAGCTTTCTTCTAAGGACCTCCACTTCATCACCGAAATCCTTTCTCCTCCAAGAATTATAAACAATGTTCCAAGCCGCCGGATATGACCTCCAAGTATCTTCAAATCGAATGAACCTTGTTTTGTTATGCTGTATAGTTTCCAATTTAAAAATAATTGGACAATGATCCGACACCACCCGAGCAAGATGCCGCACCTTTCCAGAAGGAACCAACTATAAGGATGCAGAATTTATCAAGAACCTATCCATCCTTTCCCAAATCCTTGAATCTCCCACCTTGTTATTGTACCAAGTAAAATTTAATCCAATAAAACTTGCATCATGTAAATCAGAATTAGTCATAAAATCCCTCATCTCCCTAGCTCCTCTTGACAAGAGGAACCTCTTTCCACCCTTCTTCTCATCCCTACTCAAAATGCAATTAAAGTCTCCTCCCACCAAGGATGGACCCGTCCCAACCAAGGAGCTTTCTAACAGCCTCCAAAGGCTCTTCCTTTCAATATAATAGTTACTGCCATATATAGTTGCTACTTTCCAATCACCCCAAGAAGGAGTGGTAAGATCCCCAACAATCACTTGAGAAGAGCTCTTCTCAACCACAAAAGAAGCCACATTTCTATTTTATAAGACCAGAATACCCCCTGAATTCCCAATAGCAGGGAAATGGAAGAAGTCCCAACTACCTCCAATCAGGCTGTCCACATCCCTTCTATCAACATTATTGAATTTAGTTTCCACAATCCCAATATAAAAAACATGGTAATCCCTAACAATGTCCTTCAAATACGGACAGACCTCACTTTTTCTGGCCCCCCTACAATTCCAGAAAATAATGGAAGACATTAAATCAATTGAGGGGAAAAGTCCCAACCTTTCAAACAGCCTTTCCCATCTCTTCTCTTCTTCCTATGCTAGGGTTCAAGTGGCCCCAGTGACTTAACCTCCTTGGCCAATTTGAACTTGACCACATTACTGCTAATAGCACCAATAGTCTTTAAACCATCCAAGCCAACATCAGCCTCTTTCACTACGTCCAAAGTCTCTTACACAGCTAAGTTTGCCCATGAATGCTCCACTGTGAGATGATTAACCATTTCACCTTCTTCAATATCTTCTACTGACGCTTCAAACTTCTTATTAACTTCAATTTTCAATCCCAATTCAACATTATCCTTCATCAAATTAGTATGCTTGCCACTATCCAGATCTAATAGATCATTCCGTGCCATATATGTATTCACCTTCTTCACACCGTTCTGCTCTGTACTCTGACCATCTTGATTCATCAATTTCAAATTTCTTCAAGTCCTTTCACCCTCGACAGTCCTTCTATTTTTACCTCTCTTGTTCTTGAATCGGACCTGCATCCAAAGGCCAAAGTCAATCCCGTGGGCTTCACCTTCAGCATGAGTTTTTTCAACACTAGCTGTACCTTACTTAATTCAAGTCTTCTCTCCAGTAATCGACCTCACAACCACAAGATAGACCTTTCTATCATGACCAACCTTGCCACATTCATAGCAAAACATGTCTAATTTCTCATACTCGACTTTCTGAAAAAAAAACGTCCTGCTATGCCATCAATCCAAACTCCATTTGGTAGGCTATTCTTCGAATTTATCCTAACGCACACCCAGGAAAATTCACGTTTTCCCCATTTAAATGAATTTCCATCCAGATACATTGGTACACCATTTCTCATTACAATTCTAGCAATGTTCCCTTCATCCCAACAATAAAGAGGTAAACCTGGAAAACGTACCCAAACAAGTGCAGTAATGCCTTTAAATGAACTGGGATTGAACAACGGTGACCACTTGTCCATACCCACAATGTATCCTTCCACATACCACGGCCCACCATTCAAGACTTCATCCATCACTTCCCAATTCTTAAATTAACACAGGATCAAATTCATACCAAGTGATGTCATGTGAAAACTCTCAAACCTATTCCACCACCTCCTCCGTTCATCGCTGAACATTGGAAATGAAATTTTATCTCCTAAAACCTTTATAACCACAGATTATTTAAGAACTTGAGAATTCAAGACTTCCTTCCTAGCATTTAATTTGATAGCTATACCAACCTCCGACATCTCAGCAAGATCCCCGCTAAAAGAGATCTTGATATGTTGGGGTTTCTTCCAAGCTCTACTGAATTCAGTATTCAATTAATTTCTATTAACAATTCCATTCTCATCTCTGCCCTGATTATCAGCTGTCACCAAATTCTCCTCAAGAGCATTGCTGGAAAATTTCCCATAGTTCCCCACAACATCTATTTCAGAATCTAAAATATGGCCAACGAGATCCTTGTTGCTTTTAACAAATTTATTGATCTTCAAAATCAACCCCGCAGAAGAAGAAACCTCAGAAATCTTATTTCCATCAAACCATCTATCCATTGCAAGGTCACTATCTCCCTCCAAACCTCATTCCATCACGATCTTCTTGCCCTTACCTTCCACAACCACTTCTTGGTGGGATGGAGGTCGAGCAACCTCCCTGATTACCAGATTATTTCCACTTCTACCACCCAGTCGATTTGTTCCACAAGAACGAGCCTCCATTTGACTATCAATGCTAGAAGAACGACCGGAGGATGGCCGATCATTGTTAGTACGATGAACAAAGACCATGAAATCAAACAACCATCGACCGACGGTCGGCCACCGTAGTAAACACCGATCACCAAACGCTCGTGAAAGCAGTAAAATTAAAAAAAAAAAGAGTTTCTTGTAGTTTCTCTCTCTAGAAAATTCAGGAGCTTCTCTCTCTCACTTCAAAAAAAGTTTTTATCTGACGTGGTCAATAAGATATTTTTTCAAACATAGAATAAATGATAAGAAAACTCATTTTTATTTTATTAATAAAAGAATCAAAATATAAGAGAAATAGTGGGATTTTATCACTTTGTAGGATTAAAGTATTGATGTGTGTAAATAAGATATTATATTATGTGTTATAGTTTTTAGTGAAAATGTATAATTTTTGTTATATTTTGCAAGAAAATACATAAAAGTCATTAAATTCTATGTTTTATATAGTATTGCGGAGTCCGAACAAACAACATTGCAGCCCCACAAATGACACAGTTGGAGCACCAAAATATTGATAATACAATGATAACTTTTCAACCATATAGCATCAAAAAATCAAAAGTTCAGCTTTGTAGTGCCATTTTCTTCGTTGTTTAGCACCGCAACATCACACTCTATAATGCCTCGACTCCCAAATTACCCTTCAAGTGACATAATTTTAGAAACGTAGCATCACCGTGGTATAGTAATCATAACTTCCCAATGACATGAACTGTTACTAAAACAATGTGATTGTTTATTAAGTAACTGATCCATGTAAGCAAGCAATGTAGCGAAACTAGAATAGAAGCACAACGGTATTAATTTATTTGTTGGGTGCAGTGAAATCCATATTTGGAGCATCGTAATGTCATATGTCTACTTCGTGTTTTCCTAAAAATAGTTAATGTGTTATTTTTGTAAGATAATTTAGTCACTTAGATAATTTCAGTACAGTTCAGAGTGCTTCTCTTAATTTCCCTTTGGTTGACAACTGAGGGAATATGGAGAACTACTTGATATCATCATTAGAATCTTTATCTTGTGTTTGTGGAAGTAAATATATAGGTTAAGTGGAGTGTATAGGAGATTCATTAAACTATTCTGGTGATATCTATCTCTTATATTTTCTTGTTAGCATGCCATTGAGATTGTGTTTGCTTTAATTATATTCAATGTCTGTTAAATTCTCTAATTTTAGAATGATGATGCAAATTTTATAGGTATTACTAGTGTGTTCACTTATTGCTTAAATGATTAAAATAATATTTTCAATATTATCATATCTTAAGTTAATGCACATAGGTGCAATATTTGTAGTTAAAATTAGGCATAATGTAGAGCCTCAAAGGAGGGAACATGCATAACCAGGAATATTTAATTAGTATGCATCATACGTAGGCATCATATGTGATGTATATTTAATTCTTAAGAAGTTCATATATTCGTAGAAATTTAGTGGTCATTTTTTGTTCCTATAAACTTGATAGAGATGTAGGAATGCATATGCTCTGAATAGCATAATATTTAAAATAGATTCATTAGGAAAAATATAATACTTATATTCATCAATCAAAAATATTATATACATATAGTATACTCATTATCTTTATCCAATATTCATTTTTATAATTCAATTTATATTTATCCATAAACCCTATCAAGTATCTCTCGCACACTCCTTCCTTCACTTATAGAGTTGCTTGAACTTATAGGGTAAACACTCCAATTGAATGTATCCTTGACATCCCTAGCCTTCCTAAAATTTTACTATAAGACGGTAGTAGAGAAGCACACTAAAAAGTACTATGTTTTGAGAAGTTACTAAACTCTCTCAAAAACATAACAAAATCTATATTTATAAAAAAAAACATAGAAATGGTGTCTAACGATGCGTCACTCAAAAGTGAAATAGAACCTCAGTGCTAAAATATTTGCTCTATTTTGGTGCTTAATGATGTGGAATGTTTATCAAGTAAACATATGCATCTTTTCTACTTTTGTGTTGTATCACTAGGAAGATACAACTATAGCACTGCAGTGCTTTTGAAATTAGAGCGTTGCAGAGCCTGAGTTGACAAAATGGTGTTGAGGTGTTGGATGATATTACACTTTGATATTCATTTTCTTGAGAACCTAGCACTGCTAAGTAGATTTAAAGTGATGCTTTAATTGTGTTGAATAGAAAACAGTAATGGTGTTTCCTCTTGTAGTGCACGTTTCTTTGTATTTTTAACCTTTTTTTGTATAAAATGACTAAAACAACATATTTTCACTAAAATTTTAACATAATAAAAAGTACATAACTGTACTTATCATGCCTCACAATATTTTATTTCTAAAGAATTTTGTGCTTACTTATCAATTAAGATTGCATGCTTTACACTTGTCTTATGTGGTATAATGCTAATGAGGGATAATTTCCAAGCCAATAAGAAGTATTTTTTTCAATTTAGATATTAAGGGTCATAAACTTTTAACATAACTAATTTTCGTGCTAATTAAAACTTTGGACATCATTTTGGGAATGGTCTGGTTATTTAAAAATTTAATTTTAATTGAATGTTTGAAAAAAATGAGAAAGTTTAGTTCCCTAAATGAGAGGAAATTTAACTTTTCCTATGAGAAGAATGTAACATTGTCTCTAGTTAATATAGTGACGATGGGTAAATAACTAAGAAGAGGCGATTTCATATTCTTAGCTAAAATGGAAATATTATATACAAATGTGTGGGCATTACATAATGTCCTAATGATCTCAAAGTTTTTAGATGTATTTCCCAAAAAAATTATATGGATTACCCCTTGAAAAGGAAATAGAATTTGGGAGTAAACTACCACTAGAAACATCAACAATAATCAAATATCTCTATAGAATGGCTCTAACAAAATAAAAAAAGTTGAAAGCTCAATTACAAGAATTGATGGATAACGGTCCTATCAGAGTAAGTAACTCACCTTGGAATGCACCTGTACTTTCTAATAAGAAGAAAGATGGTTCCCTGATAATGTGTATTCAAGATAGTGAGCTGAACAAAGTAACCATTAAGAAAAAAAATCCACCATCATGTAGATGACTTATTTTATTAGTTGGGAGGTGCCAAGGTATTTTTTAGAATTAATTTCAAATTAGGAATTAATCAAGAAAGGGTTAAAGAAGAAGATATAAGTAAGATAACTTTTAGGACCATGTATGGTCATTATGAGTTTAAAGATATGCAACTGGCTTGATAAATACTCCTAGTATTTCTATGGATATAATGAATCAAATTATTTTTTACTATATAAAATAGTTTGTGATTATTTTTATTGATAGTATTTTAATTTACTCAAATGCTGGTGAGTAGCTTGATTAACATTTAAGGATAGTTTAAGACATATTAATAAGAAAAAAACATATGTATACAAAATATTCAAAATGTGAACATTGGCTAAACATTAATTCTTTCTTGGGGCTTTTTATCAGTGGTGAAAGAATTTTAGTAGACCCATAGAAAATAAAATAAATTATGAAAGGCCTACACTAAATAATGTTATAACGGTTTGTAGCTTCTTAGGATTGGCATGATATTATAGGAGGTATATTTTTCACATATTATTATGCCCTTGTTCAAACTGATGACTAAGAATATTAAATTTGAATTGACTATAGAATGTGAGAGGAGCTTTCAAACATTGAAGATGCATCAAACTACAACATTAGTA